TATTTAGCTAGATGTTTACTTGTCCTTTTTCCTGTTGATCTATTTGGTTTGTGTATTTGGTATGTGCCCCTATCCTGCTACAGTAGAATTTCCTGAGTGTGGAGCTCGAGGGAACATTTAACTCAACCTTGCCCTCTCATTTTAAGGCTCTTACTGACTGAGATTTAGGGCTTTCATCTCCCCACCCGCATCCTTTTCTGAATTGTTTGACTAATATTTCTGAATCTGCATCTCTAACAGAAAGCACTGGTGGATTTATCTAAGAGGTTTCAAAACAATGGGTCCAGTTTCCACACACTGTCCTTGGAGACATTATTCCACAATGAGCTTGATCATGAGCAGAACTGCAGAGGCATGGGGAGTACTGCCCAGAGCTTTCTCCTGACAGCTGCTCAGTTTCCATCAGACTGTCAAGGCGAGAAAGGTGTGGGGATTCACATAGCAGCTCACTTGGGCATGTGCAGTGTGGACAGTCCTATGCAGGATGTGGTGAGATCCTGCTCATGGTCCCAGGCTGTGGCTACTGCAGCCTGCCCTTGGTCTTGTTGACTGTGGCCATGGCTGTCAGGTATGCAGATTCTACCTGTCCACATCGAAGTGGGAAGGTGGTATTCATGGAGCCAGCTCTGGCTTGAAAGAAAACGTCATTGTAAGAGTCACTATCTTTGTGAGTTGTTTCAGTTTGCAGGTGAGCATCAAATCCCTTTCTTCAGAGTTCCCAACACCCCCATGCGCTATCAGAAGTTGCCTGATTAACTTAAAATATGAGTTTGCATCACTTGACATCCACAATATGTTCTATGATTTGGATATTGTGCAAACACCAAGAGAGAGGTGCCCAGGATGGTGTCCGGGTAGACTGGGACAGCACCACCACCACCTTGATAATGGACTGTGTGCTGCTGGTGTTTTTAGATTGCCACTGGTCTCCAGAAGCCTCTTTTGGCCCCTGCTGTGGCAAGCACTAGCTGTCCAGCTAGCTTTGCCTCATGCTCAGGCTCCCTTCTTTTCATCCCTCCCTGCTTGCCTTCCCTCCAGCTCCCTGCAGTGGCCTTTAAACTCCTCCAGGCTGGCCCACCCCTCTTCCACCTCCTCTTCCTCCTCTCCCTCCTCCACCAGCTGCCTTTGCGGCTCATCCTACCACCATGCTCCCCCTCCCTAAGCCCAGGCTATTCTGTAGCTACCACCTGGGAAGGAGCCTCAGCTTTGGGCCTGGATGTGACAAGCAGGGAACCCTAACTGCACCCTGGCTGAGTGGGGCAGTGGCCTTGCCAGGCATTCCCCTCAGTGGTTCCGGTGGTATCTGCACCTACCCTGAGGTGATCACCAAGATGGGTGGGCACTGGGATTCCCACCCCTGCCGTGTTGGTGGACTCGGGACCCAGAGAGCTAGTGAGGACATATAGGGTATTTGAATTTGTTGATCAGAATTTCTGTTCTCGGATCAGGATTTCTGAACTCGATTATAGCCTATGGGACCATAGACGTATATGTATGTGGTCAGACACTTCCTGAGTGGGCATTATGTATGCCCGATGGTCCTGATTCACCAGATTCATTCAGAATAGAGACATGAGTTCTGTGGGGCCATGAGAGAGGCCTCTTGGTAGGACTGAGAGGCTCATAAAGGTAGGAGGTGCTTCTCAGTCCTCAGCCTGTCCTTCCTGGGACCTGTAGGTAAAGCAGACTCTCAGAGTGCCCTGGCCCCAGGCCACATCCAAAGGAGTTTGGCAGGCAGGCTGGGTCTGGGTGCTGCATATGGGTGTCTGCGGGCCAGGCAGGGTGCATGATATCTTGGGGCACAGGAGCAGGACATGGTGTCAGGAATGCGCGGTTTCTGTAGGGTGGGTGCTGTCAGGGCACGGTGTTTGGGGCATGCCGTATCAGTGTCCAGAGTGTACAGTGTCCACTTGCTGCACTGTTGGTCAAGGGTGTGGGATGAGGGATGTTGGGGTGTGACCTTGTGGAAGGCCAGGGCTGTGATTGGCTGATGCCCTGGGACAGGAGCCTGGCTCAGGCAGGAGTGAGCATCTGTCTGGAAAGTATCCAAACAGCAGGCCCTGGATGGGGTGCCTTTCTTAGGAAACCAGCCTGTGCTGGAGTTGAAACCTCTGTGTTTCTTGTTTCTTGTCTGTGTGGCTGGTCAGTGTCTCCAAGTTAAACCATCTTTCCCAATGCTAGTTGTCACAGTGTGGACATTTTGGGGACCTGGGGACTCAAAGACAGCCATAGAGTACTCCCCCCCCAGTCTGCCCCAAACCGGGCTGTGGTGGGAGCAAAGGGGCCCATTGTCAAGGGTATTAGACTGGCTGGCTGCAGGCCCTGACCCTACCAACTCTGTCCTCTCACCACTAAACCTGCAAAGCACGGCCCTCCTGGGGCTCTGGTGAGAAGCAGCAACCAGCAGAGGTTGAAGTATGGCATCACAGTGCCCATGCCCTGTGTCTGTCAAGTTCCCAGGAGCTGGGAAGTCCGTGGTTCCCTCAGAGTTCTGACAACTGTGCTTCCCAGCACACCTGTCCAAGTTTTGAGAACTAGCCTTGAGGTGTCTCCAAGCAGGCCCTGACAAGTGGACCTCAGGGCAAAGGCGTTCTTAGCTGTTCAGATGGTGATGACTGACACAGGACATTTTGTCCTTAGTATAGTTGGAATCCTTGTGTGGCGCTATAGAATAATCACTGAATTGTAACGTCGGTTTGAACCTCAAGGTCAGTGATTCAAACTTGCCAACCACTCTGCTTCTCAGAAATCTTATACAGGGTCACTATGAGTCGGAACCTACTCGATGGCACTTAGCAATAACATAATTAAACACTCAGAATCAACCATACCTCCACTAGTCTGCTTGGTGAAGGAACAACAGTCTTGAATTCCACACATCCACACAAGATTTCACACATTTGCAGGAGCACTCCATGCTTGAAGGGAAGATCCTTGTCCAGGATGATGTGACACAGCTCTTGGTGTTGAGGGAGGACAGGGCAGATGGCTAAGCTGAGCCTCCATCACCTTTGTGCTGTAGGACCTTCATAGAGAGGAACTCATTTGGAGAGAGCGCTGGTGATCCAGGGACCTAAGTATTAGGACCCTGCCTCCTACAGGAGACCACATGAAGAGGAAACGAGACTGTTTGGAGTAACTGGTGCTGTGTGTTGGATCCCCTGCCACCCCTTTACACTTGGTGCTTCCGAGCTGCCCAGGAAGCCAACAGCACCTGTCCCCTACATCTCATTTATTTTGGAGAAGTTTTAGCTGCTCCAGAGGACGGTCAGTGGCAGGTATATCCATGTTTTAGATTGAAGAGGCAAGGTTATTAATACTTAGTTTAGTGAGACAGTCCTGTTTCCTAACTCTTAGACTGTTCTTCTCGGGTGGATGCTTGAGGACCAGGCAATTCTGAAAAAAGGGACCTGTGGCCAGGCCATCCTCCAGGGGGCTGATACCAGTCTGCAGCTAGCCAGCCTCCCTTCCCAGCAGCACTCGAGGTGGGATGTGGGGCAACTCGGAGCAGGCGTCTTTATGAGGAGTGTGTCCTGCTCAGGAATGATGGAAGAATGAGTGATCCACCTGAATCCTGTGGGGACTCAGAGGAGCAGTGAAGCCCTCCAGGAAAGGATTTCCTGGGCTCTGCGGGCCCTGCTGAGCATGTGAATTCTAGTCGGCTTAGGAGAGAGGGAATCTCTCAGCTCAGTGATGCCCTAGTGCTTTAAAGAACTGAGCTTTCTTGTCTTACAGTTTTGGAGACTGGGATTCTGAGGTCCAGGTGTCAGCTCCTTCTGAGCCTCTCAGGCCTCTCTCCCAACTGGTAACGATCCTGGGCATTCTTTTGCTTGTAGATCTATCTTCACATAGTACCTGTGTTCCCCCTGTATGTGTGTCTTCTCCTTTTATAAGATACCACTCAGAAGGCTTAGGACCCACCTTGCTCTGGTTTGACTTAACATCAGATAAGCCAAACTTATCATCCGATAACATCTGCAAAGAAAAACCACATTTCTCCAAATAAGGTCATAGATACAGAAATTCGGACTTCAACATATCTTTGGGGTACATATGCAACCCGTAGCTATGGACTTCAGCTATTTCCTGTGGCCCCTTTCAATTTAGGGTGGTTCTGGCACTCCGATAGTACCCACTTGAGTGCTCACACAGAAGAAGACTCATCCCTAGGAGTAGCCTAGGATTGGCATCTCCCTCCCCAGAGAGATTGGGATGTGAAGAAATGAAACCCCACCAACTAATGTAGGGGAGGTGGTCTCCATTCCACTTTATGCCAGAAATCAACCTGAGTGTGGAAAGTGCAGCGGTGAATTAAAGCATAGAAAAGACCAACTCTGTTGTTTCAAAGCTGCCCTAACTGGTCATTCCTTTTCACTTAGGAATGTCATTGGTTTCCAGGTGGGTTCCTAATATAGATAAAACTTCAGTGAACAGCAAGGTGACATTTTCTCTTTTTCTTTCTTGCAGTGGGGTGATGTCTTCAAGGTGGTGTCCAAGGTGGGGATACCCTAACTGGGCCACATGAGTGGTCCTTCAGGACCAGTGTGGCATAGGCAGGCTCCATGCCCCTCCGTGCCGTTCCTCTGACAGGGACTTCAGCACCTTGAAGTCCTGTCTAGGGAGCGGCCCTTCTCACCCATCCCACCACACTAGCTATGTGGTAGTCCCTTTGGCCTCTGAACTCCTCAATAGCTTCCAAAGGTGGAATGACCTGTGGTTGCCATGCCTCTGCTCCAAAACAATGCCTGACACAGCCTTGTAGGTGCCCATGACAGTTTTCTGCACAAAGCATGCTGATGGGACCAGATGGCACATTGGTGAACCCATCCCAACTTGATTTCCCCTGCCTGCCTGTCTCTTCATGGTGCTGGGGTGCTTCAGCCTCCCTACCACCTACTGCCTGTATCCCCATGGTCCAGATTGCTTCTGCTTTCCTTCCCCTTCCTGTCTCCACACAGTGTGGAGTTACCTGGTTCTCACCCACGTCTCTCCTCTTCCAGAGAATGTCGGCACAGAGGAGGTGGGACTCCTGCAGCTCCTTGGGGAGCCCCCACCCCCACAGGTCACCCAGATCGAGGACCCCAACTTCGGCCCAGCCTACGTCTTTGGCCCGGACGCCAACAGTGGCCAGGTGGCCCGCTACCATGTACCCAGCCCCTTCTTCCGGGACTTCTCTCTGCTTTTTCACGTGAAGCCAACCACAGAGAGTGCAGGTGTACTGTTTGCTATCACAGATGCAGCCCAGGCAGAGATCCGTGTGGGTGTGAAGCTCTCAAATGTGCAGGATGGGCACGTGCAGATCCAGCTCCTGTACACAGAGCCGGGTACAGGGCACACCCGCACAGCAGCCAGCTTCCCCCTGCCTTCTTTTACCCACCGGTGGATCCGATTTGCCCTCAGTGTGGACGGTGACACTGTGGTGCTTTACGTGGACTGTGAGGAGATTCAGAGGCTGCCCTTCCAGCGGTCCCCGGGAGGCCTGGAGCTGGAGCCTGGCGCTGGCATCTTTGTGGGTCAGGCTGGAGGAGCTGACCCTGACAAATTCCAGGTAACCTAGATGGAACCTATGGGCAGGGCTGGGATGTAACCCTAGGGATAGAGGACTAGGGTGGGTATGGGGCCACACTGGGAGATGGAGTAGAGGCATCTTGGAGATAGGATGAGGGTACCCTGAGGTGATGGGCAATAGGGTGGGGTACTCTGAGGCTTATAGTGGAGAGTGCCAAAGGACAAGGGTGGAAAGCATCATCAGCTGGGGTGGGGGTGCTCCGGAGCTGGGGCAGGGAGTACTCTGAGACCGGTGCTCTTGGGGCAGTTCCTAGACAGGGAGGTTTCTCTGAAACCCCAGGACCCAGTTCAAAATGGCCCCCTTGGGATGGCCAATGTCCAAAGAGAACTACTCCTTACACACAGAGAACTAGGGGTCTCGTACCGGAGCAACTTTGCTGGGAAAGCAGGAAAGATGTCCAAGGCCACATGCAAAATGGACACGTGGCCCTTGTTTGAAGGTGTTAAGACTGTCAAGATAGTGACAGCAGCTTGTTGGCTCCCATTGGAGGAGTCACACATGCCATCTGTACCTCAGCATCTTTAGAACATCCACCCTGACTGAGTTCGGGTTCCTGTTCTGCATGCTCCTTACTATTGTTAAAATAATAAACAACCCAAGGACATCTTAGTCTTGACCATTAGTTAGGATTCTTATAATACTGCTATAACGTTATCAGGAACTTTTGGAAATAATTTGGATTGGTTGACCTTTATGTAATTTGCTTAACAGTAACAAGATAATCACAAGATCAGTGAGTCTTGGTTGTAAGACCCCTGAAGTTTTGAAAACAGGATATTTTCATCAGTCTTTAAAATAGGACATGTTAGTTTTTAAACATAATATGTTCATTCATTTTGGAAGTGGAATGTGTTTATTAATTTTGAAAATAGGATGTGTTTATTAATTTCTATTATTTTCTGAGTTTTAAGTGGAAGTTAATAAAAAATGAGACCAGCCTTTCTGGTTTTAGTGGGCCTAGGTACCTAGAAACAACTGTGTGTAACAAATAAGCTGCTTTTAAAGGTTAGCTTATAGCCTAGCTAAAAGATTACTTGTTAGAGTGCACAGATTTTTAACAACATTTAACAAGGTGCCCTCATGTCATGTTGTTGTTGTTGTTAAGTGCCATCGAGTCGGTTCCGACCCATAGCGACCCTGTACAGGGTTTCCGAGGGTGTAAATCTTTACGGGAGTAGAAAGCCTCATCTTTCTCCCGTGGAGCGGCTGGTAGTTTCGAACCACTGACCTTAAGGTTCGCAGCCCGATTCGTAACCACTACGCTACCAGAGCTCCTTGCCCTCATGTCATAGGTAAAAGAATTCTTTTGCATTTTCATAGTGCTAAACTTGTAGGTTTTTTGTTGTTTTTTTAGAACATCTCCCTTTTATCATTTGATCAGAATTTTGCATCAACTAAGTGTTGGCCAGACACCAACTACCTTTTTTGGGTCTTTCTAGCTGTAGGTACTTTGACACACATCACTATCTCCATTGATTTCTTAGCTTTTCCTCTTGTTGTTGTTGTAGTTGGAAAGAGACCATTGGTTGCTTATTCAATGACTACTCTCAAGCTTTTAAGACCCCAGTCATCAAAGACTTTAGAAATCTGAAAAGGTTATACATTACCAATATCAGGAAGGTGCATTAGCCAATAGTTTGAAAGCCTTATCTGACATATAAATCTGTTTTCTAACAAAAGAAACAAATTTCGAAAAGCATTCTGGGGACTTTGGCAGTATTAGCTACTTTTAAGCATGTTGTTGTTGTTGTTGTTTGATGCCATTGAGTCAATTCCAACTCATAGCACCTTATGCACAACAGAACACACCACTGCCTGGTCCTATGCCATATTCACAATTGTTGTTAAGCTTAAGCCTATTGTGATTTTGCCAATCCATCTCATCAGGAGTCTTCCTCTTGTTTGCTGACCCTCAACTTTACATACCAGACTGTCCTTCTCCAGTCATTACTATATCTTAGTATTCTTTAATTTGGGTGTCATTGATATACACACAACATTTTTTCCTACTGAGATACAAATTATACCTTTGGAAAGCAAGCAAATAACAAGATCTAACCTGTTTTATTGCCTTAAAATCTGGAAAGGTATGCATTCTATCACCCTACTTATTCAGTCTGTATGCTGAGCAAATAATCTAAGAAGCTGGATTATATGAAGAAGAACATGGCATTAGTAATGGAGGAAGACTCATTAACAACCTGTGATATGCAGATGATACAATCTTGACTTGCTGAAAGTGGAGAAGACTTGACACACTGATGAAGACCAAAGACTACACATACAAAAATCTTCTCTACTGCACCAATAAACAATAGCGTGGTAAAGGCTGAATTTATTGAAGTTGTTAAAGATTTCAGTTTACTTGACAGGGAAGTAACAGTCAAGAAATCAAACAATGTATTTGCATTGGGAAAATCTGCTGCAGAAAATCTCTTTAAAGTGATAAAAAGCAAAGGTTTCACTTTAAGAACCAGGGTATGCCCAACCCAAATCATGGTATTTTCAATGTCATTATATGCATGTGAAAACTGGACAATAAATAAAAATCAACAAAGAGGAATAGATGCATTTGAGTTATCATGTTTGTAAAGAACACTCGAATATACTATGGACTACCCAAAGAGTGAATAAATATGTCCTAGATGAAGTGCAGCCAGAATGCTCCTTAGAAGTGGGGATGGCGAGTTATGGTCTTACTACTTTGGACATGTTTTCAGGAAGAACCAGTTCCTGGAGAAAAGCATTTTGGGATTTAATCCAGAAGGAAGAAGCCCTCCAAATGAGTGGGTGCCAAGAGACTGAAAAACTGACCAGAAGACAGTTTGAAAGACATTAGTTTATTTCAAAGAGAAACTTACAGACTGGGACAGCAGTACTGCTTCCAGCGGTGACCTTTGTGCCAGTCTTCCTGTGTAGCCACTCTGCCACTTGCGTTGCTGGTGCTTGCCATATGGTACAAAGCCAGGACAGTTCATGAGCATTCCCCAGTGAAGTGAGAAGGTTATGTGCTGATACATGGAACGTTGCAATATCCATGCCCTGGGTGCTGATTCAAATACCTTTCCACTGCTCCATTTCCCAGAGGATTTGTTGGTTCACTAGCCACTCTTGCTCTCCCGCTGTGTTAGCCATAATGTTAGTCCTCTGTATACTGCCCAGCTTTCTGTGCATAGGACTATGGGGCTGGGTCCGTGCATCAGTACCATCCAAGCAGTCCTCACATCAGCCCACTGACTACTCTATCCCATGCCTTGATCAATCCACATACCTTCTGTGATGGGTTGTGGACCACTGTTACCTTGAGCTGAGCCATTTGTGTACCAGATTTATTCAAGGATTTGTCCGACACGCCTTCAAGTATATGATTCTTTTGTGGAGGCGTCACCATTGTGGGAAGTTAGTGCTTTCCATTGGTTGCATAAGTCCAAGAATCTGATGGAACTCAGCACTCAGGGGGCTAGTCAAGGGACACGTCTCTGTTGCTAATATACATGCCATTTGGCCAGTGTACTAGACTGGGCTGCCCCTGACTGAGGTTGGGCAAAGTCCTTTACCTAGCCTTGTATAAGATAGTGGGTCAGCAGTGACAGAGGCCCCTTTTGTGATGTCTTTGATGAGTTTTAAACTATTGTATATTGCATACAGTTGCTTTTCTAAAGGACCATATCAGGTTTCCACACCATTCCATAGCTGATACAAAAATCCTAAGAGAATATGTTGACACTGTTGCCATTGCAACAGGCCCCAGCCATACCCTTCTGGGTAGCTGGTGACATCCAATTCACAATCTAGCCCTACAGCTTGTGGTTCCAAAGGCCTGTACCTGCCATACTGCTATGTATGCCTCATTAAAGGACTTTTCTGCCTCAGGGGTCCAGTCCCAAATATTCCTTTTCTTTACTAAACAATACAAAATCTGAGCTAGGTGAGAGATGAAGGACCTCTAGTATCCTAACATTCCTAGGAAATGTTTGCAGTTCTTTCATCTTGGTAAGGCAGGTATATGCCTTAACTTTGTCAGTTACATCTTTAGGAACCACCTTTATCTTACCTGACGACACAACACTCAAGAGTTTGACAGGTGACCCAGGGCCCTGCAGTTTTATATCAGTGATGGTCCTTTCTCTGGAACCCAAGTGTGACACTAACTGTGGTGCTGCTTGTTGGAGCGGAGATACCATCAATATGATGAAACAAGTGGATATCAGTGAGCTCATAGCACCTTTCTAAGTCCTGGGAATCCAGCTCAGGGCAAACTATTGGGCTGTGGAGATACCTATGTGGAAGAACAGTGAAGGTCTTGTGTTCCCCATGCCTTGCAAAAAACAAACAAACAAACAAAAAAACTTCGTGGCTGTCAGAAGCAATGGGGATGCTAAAGAAGTCATTAACTAAGTCAAACACAAAGTGATAGGTACTCAAACACTCCCTGATATAATTAAGGAGACAGAAACTATTTGGTACAACTACATGAAGAGGGGGCACCACTTTGTTGAATTCATGGTAATCCACTGGCATACACCATGATCATCTGGTTTCCACATTTGCCATACCAAACTGTTGAAAGGACTATGAGTGGGCCTAATTATCCCCACCTGGACAAGTTCACCTACTGTAACTGTAATCTCTTCATGCCCTCCAGGTAGGCAGTATTGCTTGCTATTGACCACTCAATGAGGTGGGAGTCAGTAAGAAAATGGATCCATTTTGCCCGTCCCCAAATAACAAATTTTACCACATGGACTTACAAACAGAATTCTTTATGGCAATGGCCATAAAGTATCATTCCTACAGTAGATCCCAGGATATATATGGGGGGAAAGGAGCTGTATACTGCCAATCTTCAGGTTTAAAATCACTTGGCATGCTTTGACTGTGCTGCCCCCATACCCATCAGTAATGCTAAGTGCTCCTTGGAAGTGATGTGTATGCCCATGAATCAAAGTGCACTCAGCCCCAGTATCCACTAGGGCTAA